GCGGCGTTCCGGGGCCGGGCCGGCCTGAAGGGGGCGGGAAGCGCGGGAGCGCTGAGGGGAAGGCGCCGATGGATGCCCAGGCGCTGGCCCGCCAGCAGGATAAAGCACACGCATAAAACACGTGTGGCCTTTCGACTGTCTGAAGGCGAGTCTGTTCCCCAGTGCTTGGCGCCTAGCTAAATCTAATTTTATTTCCGTTTTTGCTGTAGCTCCGGTTGGGTCCTCCCTCACCGGCGCCAGGGCAGGGACGCCGGGGAAGCCCCGAGGGCGTTTTGGTGGCGTTTTCTGCCCGGGTCGCCTAGCGAGAAGGTCGAATCCCGCCTGTGACCTTCCCCGTTTCCCCGTCTAAACCATTAATTAATAAAAACTCCTTGGTTGGTCAACCTGCCCCTGCTCCCACACTGAAAGTGTTCCTTGTTGATTTTGCTGCAGTCTTCCTTTGACAATATAATACAGCCTTAAACAGAGTTTTCATAGCCCTTGTCTGAAAAAAAGTGCTGAATGTAAGCAGAAAATGCTAAATTATCCAATTTAAGAAAAATGCTCATCTTTGTTTAAATATGTTTTGTGGCATGGAATTTAAAATCGTAATATCCCTGGTCTGTCAGGCAGTGACAGAACCTCCCAAGAAAAAATGGGTAGAAAAACCTACATGGTATCTAATATGGCAACAGCTCTTCATAAAAAGTATTTCAGCATCTCTTCAAAGACTTAATGACAAAGAACAACTTACTTTCCCTTAGCTAATTGCCTTTAAATCCTATTAAACAGCATTCATTACAAGACTGGCATGAACAGCACAAGGCTGAACAGAATTGCCAGAATTCAAACATCTCGCCTTTAGCAGGAAGAAACAGCCAGCTGCCTCAGACCTTTCACTTATCAAACACCTCCAAAACTATCCGTGCTCATTTGTTCTTTCCTCATTAAACCATCAACCTGGCAGCTACCTACACAAAACAGTCAAGAGTCAAAATCCATGGAAGCTGATAGCCAGACTCTCACTGACTGCACCAGGCTTTGGACCGGACCCACCTTTTCCCCAGAACATGGGGTCTATCTCTTATTTTAATCATTTTAGTGGGTTGCTTGCCTGCATACTTAAGTGCAAGATGAGCACAACCTGATTTAGTTGCAGATGTCCTGCTCATTGCAGGGAGGTTGGACTAGATGACCTTTAAAGGTCCCTTCCAACCCAGTCTATGATTCTACTCTGTGAGGACTGTAATGCCTGTTCCCATGAGTGTAGACTAATTGGCAATAGCATGTGACTCACTCACAGCTCTACCATGACTGGATGTCACAGTACTATTAAACTTTTCGGACTAGAGGCCAGGGGAAGTTGGATGGCTTTCCTTATCACCTTCATTTTCCCCACCAGGTACACACAGAATCAAGCTGTGCTGTCACTACATTTCCTGCTGCTTGTTGAAAACTCACTGATGCCATGCTGAAGAATAGCTGTTCAGTCGTTTTTATTGCTCTTCAAGACACTTCAGTTGGTGTGCACATGAGATTGCTGTACAAAGAAGTAATCCAGTGTCCGTCGGGTCTGGCAGTTGAATACAGGAGGGTATTCCCCACATTTGGAGGGTTTTGTTGCCTTAAAGAACACCGCAGAGCCGCCTCTCTGAAGAGGGTCAGTCCCCTTCAGCCAAAGTCCACAGTAGCACAGCTAGTCCTTGTCCTGGCTGAGGGCGAAGGATATTGTTTGTTTCTGCTAGAAGTTTGTTTCTGCCCTTTTACAAGGGTTTAAATATACTTACTTATTTCAATACTAATTTTCTTACTCAAAAACATCTCAAAGTAAGGCAATAAATTGAGGCACACCTGAATAGCTAGGTCCTGGAAAGAACCAACACATACACTTGCTTCTTTCCCAGCACCAAGCATACTTTGGGGAACAAAACAAAGTTGATTGATTTTGGTTCCAAAACCACTCCACAAGTGAACTGCAGGCAGGCCACCAGCAGTATTTTGTTATTACAAAATGCCAAACAAGGAACATGGCCATAACTGCACAAAGCTCATTTTTTGTTGCAGCACTGACCACTTTCGGCAGTGGTCAGGGGAGCCCATTTTGCTTTGTGTTGCCTGAGATAATGAGCACTCCCACACAGCTCCTGCTCCCTCAGCTGAGATGTGGCTCCAAGAGAAAACGTAGCTGCTCTAGGGAGATCCCAAGTACTTGTCTGATCATGCTTTCAGAGGAAAGATCACCCAGACAGTATTATTTATTTCTAGACATATTAACATGATTCAGCCTGCGTTGACATTTCTGGAGATGCCTGTGCCCTTTGTAATAATTCAAGACCATGTTTTTGCTTTTTGTTTTTTAAACCAATGCAATGTTCATTTATTTTTGTACTTACAAAAAGAGCCACCCCATTGTACCATTTTATCCCCCCCCCCCCAAAATGCCTTTTACAAACATTTAAAAATTAAAAACCAGATGATGACATGTTAATTTGGTAGAATTATTTTGAAACATAGCTTTTGTAATTAAATTTCCTACAAGATGACTTTGTAGAGACAGCCTGATTATCGGCCAAATAAAATTCCATATTACAAGTTAGCAAATTCTAGTACAAAAATAGTCCATGTGTTAGAACAGCCTCTTATTATTATTATATTCACAGGAAAGAGTCTATTGGCTGCATAATACCTTAATATTTATGAAATTTCTTTTTACGTGGCTCATTCATCTAATTTAATATAGTGTTGAGCCTCAATAAATCCTCAGGCAAAAAACCCTAAACAGGGTTAAATATGCTGTTCAGTGTACTCTGAAGTACTGTGCTTTTCACAGGACATCCAAGAAACCCCACAAACAGTTCTCAGCTAGTTTTGATATTAAAATGAGATCCAGATCCAAAAGGACCCCCCTGAAGTACATATCCATGACTTTCCATAGAAACAGAGGCAACAGCTTCGATGGTTAAGTTTCACTTGGGAAACGGTCTAAGCTCATCCACCCATCATTTTCACAAATCCACTTGTGAGCTTCTTTAAAAACTAAAGCAGGTCACTCCCAAAGCATCTGGGACCCTTACGGCACTGCTCTCTTCAGGAGTGTCCCTACTGACCAGGCTCTCGCTCCTCTTCTGTCTCTGGTTAATGCTGTTCAGCAGTTTCTCTCGGACCAGGCCCCACAGGGAAAATCTGGGGGAAATGCTACTTGTCTCTCAAGATGTCTAGCTGCTCTTGATATTCTGTGAAAAGCCTCTGGAAGCGGAGGTTCTGTCCAATGACAGGAAGAAGCTCTTTCAATAGTTCTCTCTTTCGTAAACCCTGCACAAAAACCACAAAAGCATCCTCAGAATGTATTACTTGATATCATGAATATATTTGATAGAGCTCTTTAAGATTCACGCCTTTTTTCCTGCCTGGAGAGGGCTGTGTATTTTATGTTCTTACTCCGCTTACATGATTCCCAGAATAAAAACTGTCTTTACATTTATGTACACTCATGAAGCTGGTGCAGCCCCTGCAGTTACAGACTCCAGGCATACTCTGAGAAGGGGAGACATTTCATTGGCATGTCACTACTTCAAAGTTGCTGTCTGAAGAATGTGGAGAACTGAACATGCAACTCTGCTCCATCTGCATGATACTCAAGACAGCACCAGAGCTGAGACTGTGGCACTAAGCATTTGTCTACAGTTTCACATGAAATAAATAGAAGTGTCATGGGAGGAAGCCTGCTTATGAGATTAGAGCAGAGTATGGAAAGGGTTCCAGGGTCAGCAAAAAACATTTGTGATTGCTTTTTTGCCACTAAGTTTAATCATATTTTAAGTTCTATTGTCTATCCATGCTATGTAATTTTCATGGGAAACTCTTCCTTGTTCGTTATTAAACTATTATCAGGACTTACCATAACTGTTGATTCCCACTGACTTCCAGCTGAGTAATGGACTGGACCCAGTAAATCCTTGCATAATTCTCGCAAACGATATTCAAACCCTGAATATTATCAGAAAATAAAATCACATTCATAAGCGTTTCACTAATATAACCACTCCACAATGTAACTGAGAACATTCAGGAAAGAGTTACAAGTATCTAGAATAAAATAAAGCCAAACCCATTGATATCTGAAAAAGTATATTATTCTTCTAGCAGCAAATCTTTGGAAAGATAAGGTGATTTGTAAAGCATTCATTTTAAACTTCTGAAGGGTTTTATTCTAAGTTCTCAAAACCAAAAACACTACTGAAGATGATCTATAATAGGGAGAAAAACTGAAGTAGTTATTCCAGTTTGTTTTAAGAGCTGCCCTGATCACAACCTCACTCCCCCCTCCCACATAAATATACCAGCTTTAAAAAAAAAAACAAACCAAAAAACCCACTGGAAAACTGACAGACTTCAACAGCCAGAGAACTAATACAAAAGAGATATCACAAGAGTCAGAAAGCCACAAGATGAAAACCAGTGAAGGGGAAAAGTTGTTACGTTG